CCTTGTTGCTCTCACCCCATGTGGCAAAAGTTTTGAATCTCGAAATAAAAACAAATGAGCCGGCGGTAGAAAACGAGGTTTGGAAGTTTAGGTTATGGTTGTAGCTGGGAGAAAATGTGTCGCGAGGAGGAGGAGGAACAGTTTTTTGCTTTGTTTTTAAGAGGAAATGCTGTTGGTGTTACTATTTTGGTAACGCGGTGATCAAGCGAGCAAAAGAAGCCCATTCACTGATTTCTGCATACTCCAGGCGATGTTTAATGCTCAGCCTCGCAGGTATTAGTGTCCAAACCTGCATTTAATCTGATTATGATGAGGTATGCTGATACAATGGATAGCTGAATAGATCCTTGTGTCTTAGCAAATGAGGTGGATTTTCGGCTTCCCTCGGTTTCCGGGGATGAGAGGAAATAAGGCGCTGATTGTCCACCAACACCTTCTGAAGCCCCTCAAACATCTTTGGGTTTTGGTTGTGGGTGGAAATGAGCATAGCCCCCTCAGCGCCATATTGTAGCACCGGGCTGGATGTCCCGGCTCTTTTATGGCTAGACCTGAAAGTTTCGCTCTCTGTGTGCAACTGGAGAAATGAAGAAAAATAACAACAAATATGGAGCAGGCGTCTCTGGTGTCTTTTCTGTCCCTCATGTAACGCTCCCCATTTCCTCTTTACCACCCTTCTAAAAGGGTGATCTGCTGCATAGGAAAGGAATGAAAAGATTGCAATAAAAGCAAAACCGAGTAAATAAGGTTGAGGGCAGAAGGAGAGGTTTTCTTTGCCAGCCTTTAATTGCCACTGAAACATTCTACAGTTGTAAACATTCCTTATTTATTCAGCCCAAATAGGCAGGCATTGTCTTGCTTTTATCGCAATCGTAATTATGGTGTCCTTTAAACTGGCTGATAGCTAGGGAGATAAGGGAATGTGCCTGTAGCTTCAGATCAAATCTCTCTCCGTCCCTCTCCCTCCCTCTCGCTCTCTCCCCCTCCCCGGGTCATCAGGATCCCCACAGTCCTTAGAGATGAGGAACGCTGGAAGACTCTGGCCTGGCCATTCCTTACGTCACGAAAGTGATTTGTACCACATTGCTAATTTGGTGCAATCCCTAACCCTTTGGATCTCGTGTGCGTTTGTAATTGCCTTTTGCTGCTTGCTTCAATTTTTGGAGCGTTATTTTTGGCGGCAATTTGGAGGGGGCGTTTGGGGTGGGCAATATATCTTTTGCAATCGAGTCCAGGCGTGTGAGGGGGGGGTTCTGCCCACCTGTACGTCAGAAACACCAGCGTGTCCCTGAGTCTTTGTTTACTGCACCTTTGTGTCTAATTAAAAATGCACACTTTTAGGATCCTCGCAGAACAAAGCCTCCCCAAATCCCCCTTTACGTCCAAGGATTTGCAAATTTATAAAGGCTGCATTGAATTCGGGATGGGTCAAGGGGCAAAAAAAGGGTAGGAGGTCACTGCATTTTGATTATGGGTCAGTAGGCAACATGGCAGGCAGTTTGTGTCCCAAAAAACCTCTTCTTTAAAAGTGAGGTTTAAAAACAACAAGGATGAGCGAAGTTTCTAGGGGGAAATTTGACGATGAAAGAGAAGAAAACCTCTTTTCCTGATATTTGCAAAGCAAGAAGATATGTCCATGTGAGAAAACAAAGCAGCCCTCAACAGCACTATAAATTGTTGCTCTGTTTACAGAGATATAACTCACAGTGTGGTGTGTTGCAGGAACTCGGCTATGGGTCTTGGAGTGTCCCTCACACCACGCAAAGCCTTTAACTATACTGGGTATTGCTGTAATGTGTCAAAAGGTGTCTATGCTTGTCCTTTTTAAAATAAGTGTATGTGGAGGGGTTTTTTTAAAGTCTGCACTTACGTTTGGCTGAATAATATGGGGAGCTGAATGACCCTTTTGACAGGTTTTGGTCCCTTTGCCATATTCCCCAACTGGTTCTTCCCCTCCCCCAATCCGCCCTGGATATATTATAGGGGGGACTACAGGCAAGGCACCAACTCTGAAAATCTAATTTAGGCTGGGAAATGATATATTTTTACCTCTGAAATAAAATAATAATGATTATAATAATTATATGCAGAATAACCCTCGAATAATAAGCTGTGCCAATCGGGAAAGGGTTATAACCAAGAATAAAATAGTCTGGAGGTGGCTGTCGTAGTGTGAAAATGCACCAGGATACGGAGAATTCGAGGACCTCGTGAAAATAGAAGCTTAAAGTGCTGTTGCATTTCACAAGTAAACATTTAAAGGGCTGTAAATGGTGCTCTGAGTGACTTGCCCCAGAAATAAGAGGTCAGCCTGGATTGCAGGGCTGTTTAAACATAGTCATGATAATACAATGAAAATATATCAAAGCACAACCTCAGAGGGCGTTTTCAAATATATACCCCCCTCTCTCAAACGCAGACACACTCATCTCCCAGTAAACCCCCCTTTCCCAAAAAAAGCAGCGATACAAGGGAGCTTCTATATATTTTTAATACTACAGAGTAAAAACAACAACTATGCAATCTGAGATCAATGGGAATAGGTTTACAGCATTGGGTGAGGAATATTATTTTTCCTCGTTATTTTCTAATTAGGTTTGTCGTTCGCCAAGAGTGCTTCAGACTGAAATATCATCTAAGGTAAAGAAATCCTATCTAAGGTAGGGTATACATTACAGACTGGGGCTACTCGATGGGAAAAGGAGCACATTTGATTGATAATCTCTCTCTCTCTCTCTCCCTCTCTCGGAGGTGAGAAGAGGAAAATGCCTCATGAGCGTTCTCGCTATCCACAACCCAGTTGAATTGTTGTCCAAAGGCTGAACCCGATTCAATCTAATTGATTTTCGAATTATTGATTCCATTAATTCCACCGCGTCCCATTCATAACTACCGGGACTGATGCCTGAAATCAGTGTCACTAAATCAGCTTAAATTCGAAGACTTTCACTTAAAGGTTTTCCAGGCTGCAAGACGACCTAAAATCCAAGTATTTCCTCGTCTAACTGGTATATGGATCCACCGGTAGCCTTATCTGTTTCGCCAGAAAGAAAAAGAAGGCCACATTTCAGCCTCAGGTAAAACATACACCCTCTCCACCCCACAAA